TGAGGTGAAATCATAACACTACTAGTCAGACTACGACAAAAGTTAGAAAACTTAAGAGTTAAATATGTAATTCAAGAGGCAAAAGGACCTAACTCAATACTCTCTTGAAATCAATGAGCATTATTCCATGAACTCTAATGGAAGTAAATTAAGTGCTCATTTATAAATATATCTGTAGCTCCCCTCATTTTTCACATCAGTCACAAGGTATTAAAAATTATCAAATATTTTAAGGTACAGCTACAATAGGCTATTACAGAATGAAGTGGCCTTTTGGCTTCCTTCCTCTCCCTGTTAGCATTACTCTCATCATACGGTTCTCAAGAGTTGAGAAAAATATTTATTTCTGAACTCCCTTGCTTCAGTTTCTTGGACAATTGCTATTTGATACACTACCCAATTCTGATACTACTACAGTAATAATACAAAATCATCCACTAAAATCTTATTTTCCAGTCGAAGAAGAGCACCTGTGTCAAGAAGTAAAAACAAACTGGGAAGTTACTTACAGATCTGCTAGGAAAGTCTTGTGATCTGGGGTAGCCTTTACCCCTCTGTAAAACCTTTAGATTGGACACATCACTGATTTGAACTGAATTCTAAACTTTTAATATCTTCAGTTAGTAGTCAGCTTGCTAACAACACCACTATAACTGTATGTTTCTATTTAACAAAGTGCAAAAAGTATTTTCTGAACGTACACATCAGGCAAATTTTAAAGATTTATAAAAGCTCTATTTTTTCTCATGGATCAAAATTATTTAAGATCAGTTGTCTTTGTAACCAGTACACCTCTTGCTCTTTGCTATTTGGAGAAGGCAAGCCAAAATACTCACATAATTACTGTAAAGTTTAGGCATAGAGTTATAATTCTTAGCAAGTCACATTTGTGAATATCTGATTGGTTTTTTCCTCATCACTTTGAAGAAACGGGTCAACTGTTGATTTCATATTTTTTAGAAATATAGTTTTGTATTAATTCCTACTGAGAAGCTGACAACTTGGACACACTAAAGACTACAAGTTCCCAGGACTTGTCTCCTTTCAAACAGCAGCCAAAGCATGCTTGTGGGGAAAAGTAAAATAAAATAGTTATGAATGTAAGGTACTGTTACAGGATGCAAAGGAAAATTTCTTTTTCAGGCTGAGCGGGAAGTGACTACAAGAGACAAGTATATCAAGTTATATTGTATAACATTGCCTTTTTCAACTAAAAACCTGCAAATTCATGACCAACATCAAAACGGTTCTAGTATACACCACCAGCATTATTTAAACATGAGACTAAATGTTCTTTTTTGTGAATTTTCAGTGCAAAAATAATTCATTCTGGCTTTGCTTTAGGTTTTCAATTTTGGATCTCTAACACACATTAGCAGTTAACTGTAATTTACAGCATTCGTTGACACCTTCCAAAGAAGGATGTGGGTAGGCAATATATAAGCCTTAACTAAATTAACATTACAAGAACTTTCTGTTCTCAAACTCAGTCTCTGGAAAAATCTGTATGCACAACAATTTTGGTGCTTTGTCATACAACATTGGTCATTCAAGTGATAATGTATCAGACAACTGTGTGTCTAAAAAGTGAACAAGAAAAAAAAATAGCAGCTAAACACAACTTGTGTAGTAACTTCCTGCAATAGTTTGGCAGATCAGTTTGTTTATCTCAATTCAAATACCAAGTACTATACTAATACACAAATGCAGTAACTTGCTTTATTTTCAGACACAGTCCTCTAGAACCTCGTCACTTGAAAATCAGGAGCCTGATGTGACTAAGCACTAAAAACGTTAAGAAACACACTTGCAGGGTTGTTAAACACCAATATGATATCTACAATTATTACAAAACAAAACAGAAAATATTTATATTAAGTGTAGAAGAGTCACTGTACCTGTTTTCAAGTAACACTGAGTATCAAAGAGCAAAACAAACTGTAGTAATGAGTTTGCATCTTCATACTGCATTTCATGTGCGGTCATCTATTATTTTGTCAGCAGCAGCTGAGGGAGTTACTAGTTGCACTCTCCCTTTTAATCTGCTCCCACCCTCATCATCATGGCTCACCATTCACTCCCACAGTCTTAGCAGAGACTACTTGCTTTCACCCAATACAAGGAATATAGTTATTAAGTGCCAAGAGTCTAACTTTCACAGATACAGTTCAGTCAACAGCCTCAGAGGCACCTGAAGAGGCTCAGTCTCTACAGCAGAAACATATTGAAATGTGCAGCTTCAGACTGGATCTGCTGCTGGTAGAAGAATAAAGTGCAACTATAGCCTTAATCTTTTAAAAGCCTTATGCACCTTAAACACCTATTAAAGGACTGCATTATATTTAATTTGTAAGTACAGTTTCCTTACCCAAGAGTAAAGCTTAACATCATCCAGTTTAACATACATATCACAGGTTCTTAAAAATCTCGAACACCATCTGTGACTTGAGAGTAACAGAACAAACCAGTCAACTTTAGGTTTCAGCTTATTCAACTACACTGTCAGCAATTCCAAATTTTGAAGACAAATACTAGCACTTATCCTGCATGGACATAGGAGCCCTGAAACATCAACAAAAGCAGGAACAGGTCTCTCCAAAAGTGAGACCTACTGAGGCAAAAGCAGAAATACACACAACAAGACCTCACTGATAAGATTGTTTGTAGTCTCCTGGATAATGTTCATCACAGAATTATTATTCTGACTTCATCAGCCTAAAGATAATGGGTGCTGCTCTGAAATACACACCCTTACCTTGGATGCATTGAATCATTTACTCTCCAACAACTGCAACCTTCAAACTCCTACCTGAACCATTCCTGAGGATGGTTCATGCAGAATGTATTTGTCCTTTTCAAGGCCTACTCTTTTGTGAACTGCAGAGAAAATAAATGCATATATTATTGAAGTATGCAATAAATAAGGCAGAGTGACACCCAAGAGAAAAGAACACTTCAAAGTTTCCTTGAACCAAAACATTTTAAGCATTACTGAAGAGCTCAGAATTACCAGAGAATTATCTGTGCTAGAATCATGAATTAGCCAACAGTGGCTTGACAAAACAAAACTAGGGTGGATAACTGCTATCTTACCTTCTTGGTGAAAAGCAGGAAAATTGCATGTCTAGTCTCCTTTCTTAAAAATCTGTCAGGAACTTCTCAAAATAAATAGATAAATCCACACTTTTTGTGGCTTTTTGACAGAAAAATATGAACTGGTACATGAGAAATATAAACTCTGCTTCAAATAAGTGAATAGGAACATAAAACTCCTTGACACTGTACAATAAAGTCTACTGAACTGACAGAATTTGTGAAAAGCATGAGTTCAACCAGTTTCTGCTGAATAGAATTCTGCTGAATAGAATTCTGGCAAAACATTCACAGCCTTTACACAGAAAGATAAAGTACAATTAAGATATTTCTGAATTGAGTCCACTATTTAAATACAGTCACGGTCTTCACTACAAAGCTCATTAGTAGGAAATGCCCATTTTAATTACTTTACTAAAGACTGCAGAATTCAACCAGAGGATAAAACTGTTCAGTAAACAACAGATTACTTAATTAAATATAAAAAAGTTTTCAACAGCTCAAATCTTTAACCTGCTTTGACAACATTCCCATTTTCCTCTATTTCACTTTTTTCTCCTCTGAAACATACTGTGTCACTGTACGATGAGTCTCCACTATTATTAGCCTGGCCTAGCTCACAACTAAAAATAGCATCAGAAGTTTGCCTTTCCTGAGATTAGTCTGGATTTGCCATCAAATTTTATAGTGCTAAGAAGTGATCAGTACTGAACATTTTAGAAGAAACTCTTGTACTTTAACATCCTCTCTTTCTAAACTCTACTTCATATTTTTTTCAAAAGGGGAAATAACTAGTAATTAGATTGAGAAATCAGTAGAGATGTTAAATATTTCTACTCACAGAAATTAGACAAAATATACACGTTACTTGCAACAGTCTATATTTTGAAACACATTAAAGAAACTCCATGCTATGAGTCTGAGATTACCTTGTGTTATGCACTCGAGTTCTCAGTACTTTAGAAGGAGCATTGGACCTTCATATTCGTTCCCACTGTTATTGTATGACATTGGAACATTCCCAGCTCTCCTGTTTCGAAAGACTATCATGTTGATATAACCTATACTCAGTACAACCACACTAATATGTATAATATATTCATGTATACAAAATAGACATTATATTAATAATGTATTAACTGTGTTATCTGGAAAAGTTTGGTTTTCTTCCTGTCACTGTCACCTTCATCGCATTATCGGTCACTGGACGAGGCTCCCCAAGAAAGCGGTCACAACATCAAGCCTGTCAGAATTGAAGTAGCACCTGGAGAATATCCTTAGTCATATGATTTAGTTTTAAGCAGTTCTGCAAGGAGCAGGGAGTCAAGACTTCATGACCTTTTTGGATCCTTTCCAACTTGAGATATTCTATAATTCTATGATCTGCTTCACAGCTACCAAGAAGACTAAACCCATGCAGACAGTCATTAAGCAGAAGAAGTAACTATGCAGAAAAGGGTACAACACAGTAACATAAGCAATGAGAGGAAAAAAACCTGCCGGTCTTTAAACCACATCTGCTCAAGAATAATGCTCTGTAGAAGAGTAACGTTAAGGTAAAGGAATGAACAGTAACACTATGGAACAAACTGCTTTCATGCATGATCTTTAGGAAAAGAAATCACAACAATAAAACTCTCCACATCTGTATTAAATCAATTACCAATTCCCAGTCGCAAACACATTCTTTTAAGTGCCCACTTTTTTTCCCCCACTCTAACAGTACAAGGGCAGTCAAAGACTCCAAGCAAAATTAAGGCATTATTACAGACTACAACTTTATTTCAAAATCATACAAAATATAAACATAAATACGTAATTACACTGAAGTAAACTCTTCTTTTTTAAGTATCTTATTACTTAAGCAATGATACTGCTGTCAAAAAATGCCTTTATTATTTCTCTTATTATCGTATGGAGCGATACATCATGAAATCAATTGTTGTACATCTAGGAAATTTACCAATGGAGCTCTCTTCCACTGGGGTGTACACTTTGATTTGTCTCATGTGAGTGTCTCTTCCATTTTGGTGGTTAGCTAGAACAGCAATCTGAATCATAAACGTGCGAATAGGCTTCTTATGAGTATCTGTTAAAGGAACATGAATCCAGCCGCTTGGTTCCACTAATTCAAGTTGCTGCCAGGAACAAGACAAAAAAAAAAAAAAAAAAAAAGCAAAACATTCAGAAACAGTTAATATACTTAATGCAAGTGATTATGTAGTAAACCGTTTTATTAGAGCAGTCTTGCAAATCAGATTTTAGTTACTTTTTCACATGAATTTGAAATAGCAGAGTTGAATACTCATAGCTAATTTATAGTTGGTATAAATGGATACAAATTAATTCAGTTGACTATAGTTGTCCTGGTTTCCCCTTTCAGAATCCATCCCTCATTTTGTGCCTTAACCTTGAAATTAAAATATATATAAAAAAATATAGACCTGAGTATAAATTCAAGAGTGTCAAAACAGTAATGTATGGAAATTGTTACTGAAGTACACTGCTCAAAGATGACAGAAAAATGAATCTTGAAGTTAAACTGCTTTATCTAGGTGTTCTAAACAACAATATGATATAACAATTTAGATAGGACACTAAATGCACACAAAGTCTGGGTTTCCATAAATTCTTTCGATTATTAGGGGGACTGAAGGGGAAGAAGAGAAGTTGACAGAGGAATAAATACAGGATAACACATAGGTGATATGAAGTTTGTGAGTTAAGACAGATGCCTGGCCCATTCACAATTGCTGCACAGCCATTCAATCACATCCTAAGGTCCACTTTGATTTGGCCTTTACACAAAAAAGGATTTTTTTTTTAATTTACATATTACAGAAACCAGTGTCAAAGCTAGCAAAGAATTGCATTTTGTTAACTCTAAACCACATCACTGACACATCAATATTCTGAAATCAAGCTGGATGCTATGCAGAAGTGTGCTAACAGCTTTTGTTTAACGCTAGTTGCCCAACTTCAAAGCACAACTCAAAACACATATGGAAGAGCACTCAAGTAAGCGGAAGTCTTGGCGAGGAGGGAACTGAAAACAGTTGTCCACAAGCAAGTGGATTTCACACAGCTAAGCAAATAAGACTGCTGTTCTTAGCAGACAAGTTTCTCCAAGGAAGATCTATGCTTTGAGCAGCTCAGAAGTCCTGTCTTTCTCCTGAAAATACAGCACGACAAACATCCTGCCAAATGCCTTGCCTTTACTGAAGCTTTCACAAGACTCATCTTGAGATGTACTGCTTCAGAGGCAGCAAACACCCTGAGGGAATGACTCAAGAATTAAGATTTTCTTTTTTTAAAAAAAAAAAAAACAACGAACAACAAAACACAACTTTGATGACTATTTCAAATTTAGAGACCAAAAAAAGCCTCTCATCTCCACCTTAAAAAACACAAAGTATCACCACAACCCCACAGCCCCAAACTCTCCACTGCTGCAGGCTCTCTAATAAACAATTTCCAAAGCATTAAATCCACTAAACCTTCGCAGCAAGTCTTTTCACTCCAGGAGCTAGATACTTCCACAAACACACATTCCCTTGTTGTAAGTCTCTGCCTCTCAAAATACTTAAGAGTTTTTTGGGTTTTGGGTTTTTTTCTTTGGTTGGTTGTTGTTTGGGGTTTTTTTTGCATAGGAAACTTCAGGTAACAGTTGGGTTTACAAATCAAAATTATGCACTGTAGAAGCAGCTTTACAAAGGGGGAATTTATCATGGTGAGGTAGTAGCCAGTAGTTTGAGTAGGTATGCTTTTCAGCTCCACAGTGATCATATGGTATGAGGATCCCAGTAATATTTTATTCAACTAGTGCTAAGGTAAAGTGGCTATGATTTAGAAGAGAATTAAAAGGTTACTGGTAATTAAACTTGCATTTTAATATTATTCTCACAGTTTACAAGTTCTGACTGCTTGTTTAAAGTGGAAAACTTAAGTTTCAAAGCTATGATATTGGGATTTTTATGTCTGAATCAGTCTGAAATAGATTAGTTAATACAGTTTAAAAAAAAAAAGTACCGCTTTCTATAAGTTGACATCATTGGTTTCAGACAGATCCAGTATAGTTCAGGTTTGCATCTTTACTGGGAAAGAAATTGCCAAGAGTGAAATGATGACTTTGTCGTCAAAACAAAAAGAGCTACCAAGGGAGTGGCAAAATCAGACTATTAGTACAAGAGGAAGTTGGATGCTTATTAAACTTGGGGAAAAAAAAAAAAATCACATCTTTAATTTTAAGAAAATTATAAGGGTCACAGGTAAGCATTGGGAAATTAAGAATTGCAAAGTAATTTTTCTAATGTAATTTCTTTTTTATTTATCTTACTACATCAATAAAGTTCTGATTACATATTTTTCAATGCTGATCAATGGGAGGTGGTCATATGCTTTGTTTATAGCATGTTCTTTCTTAGTCCCGCGAGAGGCAACCAATTTCTTCCCAAGCCTTTCCACAGAGATGGGACAAGTAACTGCTAAATCTGTAAGAGGCAAGTGCAGCATTAAGTTAATCAGATTAAAATATTCCCTAGTTCCAGATGTCAGACTTGACATACTCAGAACTTGATATTTACTGTCCTTAGTAGCATACAGTATTCTACATGAGGCGTAGCTCCCACTGAGTTCCTTTCCAGTTATAAGTGTCTGCATTTCTGCAAGTTGATAATAGTTCTCAGACCAGCCGCTAGAACACAACAGTATGAGCAGCCACCTAGGAACAGTTACTTGAGCACATCATGCTGAAACCCAGTGACCAAACCCAGATCGCTCACAATTCATCAAGCAGCATTCAGTTGTCTTAGCCACAAAGCTTTTTCCTTTTTATTCCCGAAATCACTGCTTCACTTACATGTTCCAACCTCTGTAACAGATGAATACACATCTTTTACTGTACAAATCCTCATCTCATCCTCAGAAAAGACTTCTTTCCCCGTTCCAGTCAGATTGTTGCCTCTTTGACAAAGCCACATGACACTTGTAATGAAGTGGGAGATTGTACTACAACGTATTAAGTGCAAAAGATCTGAGTCAGACTTAAATGTTTGAAAAAAGTGAGCTCTCCGTTTTTGCCCTCTCAAAAAGTTTACTATACTGTGACACTGAGTCTTTTTAAAAAAAAAATGATGCCTACATAGCCCAGTAAAATGATTAAAGCCTTAAGGCATGCTAAAGTACTGAAGTTAAAACGCAACAAAATGCAGTGATTATTATCTGAACATCCACTAGAAAAGGAAGCAATATTTTGCCAGTACAACACACACATTTTCTGTGGCCAAAGGATGGTACAAACCACACACACGCTCCTGCATTCTTCTCCTCCACATCTGTCATGTTCTTCCAGATGAGCGAGACAGTTTCTTTTTCCAGAGGGCCCAGGTCCTTCCACCAGGGAGAAGGAACAGGACATGGGAATAGACAGTGGTGGTACAAGACAACACTGCCTGCTCTCAGTTCAAGTGTCAGCACTCAGATTCAGCCATTACAATTCCTAGCAGAAGTGGGATGAAATATGCAGCTCTATTCTGCCTGGAGCATTCCCAGTGTGAACAGAATCTAAAGGAAAATTACTGTGAAGTTTTAAGAAATTCCTATTAAACCCATGCAAATGGCAATCTTTCAAAGCCTTGTAAACCGGTCTGGAAATTTGGGTGGATTTTTTACAGGGAGGCAAAAGGCACATCCTCAACACAAAGGCTGAACTATTGCCAAATTTCAAATCCTTGCTTCAGAGCTTGGGGGCACTGGAGCATCAAAGAAACAACACCAGAATACTCTTACACAAGCAAAATAGCATACTTTTCACTAGCCTCCTTCTTGGAAGAGAACTACTTTGGCTGAAACTTTAAAAAAAAAAAAAATCAGCCCAAAGCAGACATCTGGCATGGAAAAAAATCTGTCTGAATTGAACTTTGGCAAAAATTATAAAGGAACTTAGAGTTAAGGATCATGCAACCTTAAACACAGGTGGCACAAGCAGCTATACTTGAAAGAACAGAGTTGACAGCAAAATCAACTGAAATGGATTTAAAAGCACTAGCCACTGTATACACATACATCTCTGTTTCACCCCAGCTCTGCAGTATAATGCCACTATGAGAAAATACCAGATTTAAGTTTCCTCACATATTTTTTTCCTCCTATGCAGGTCATTAACAATCAGTCACAATTAGCTGCCTCCCAGCAAAGTTTAAAAAAATTTTTTGTACCTGTTAACTTTTTAAAAACACTATTATTAATTATCTGAGTGACATTAAAAGTCGTAAATTTCTTGTTATGTATTTTACCCAAGAAGGTTTAAAAAAAAAAAAAAAAAAGAGAGAAAGAAAGGAATAAATGCAAGTTGAATATTAGTAACTCAGGACAGTTCCTGCAGCTGCAGACTGATCTTACATACAATATACAAAAAACCTTGTGTTTGGTTGTTTGGAGTTCTTTTATATTTGCTTCTAATAAAATAAATTGTGACAATTGGTAAACAAGAACATTAAAGTCAAAATAAAGGAACAAAGGGATAAAAATTGAAATGGAAAATTTACTTACTTGTCCTTTGCTGCTGTTATATACTCTTATCTATCTCTTCTGCTTTCTCTCCATTGCTTTCTTATTTTTCCTGGCCTCTGCGTGCTACAGGTTTACCTATGGACATACACTCCCAACTCCAGTCATCATCCATGTTATTTTAAAAGCCAAAGCAGAAATCAAGTTCTCAATGGAAATCTCCTCCCTAGTCAATCTGACAGCCCTGTTTCTTCACTTTGTTGTATAGTCCAGGGGTTTTACAGAATTCCATACACATTTGGCAGGGCTGCTATTGCAACTAATGGGTGTTCAACCATAGAAGATGCAAACCACACAACAAAATAATAATAAAAAAAATATAATTAAAAAAAGCCAAAGCAACTTGAAGCTACACTTTCAAAACATGACTGAACACGATTGGAGCTTTTAGAGGAAGCTTGCTCTACATTTGGCCCCTTATAGGACAAGAGATCTTTTATCCAAAGAAGGCTTTATTGCAATTAATCATAGTGAAATTTAATATTGACCTCTTCCCCATACTCAGTAATATTCTGCATAAGTTCTGTGGTGTCTTCAAAGTGGCATATAACTTGAACTGCTACTTCCACAA